TTACATAGATTCCCACGCCTGTGTTATACAAGAGCTCAGACTATCAAATCAAGCAGTCCCTTTTGCTTTAAAACCTGAGCATCTGTGATTCCTCCTCTTTTCATACACCAGCTCCACAGTTGCCATCAACTCAGAAACACCAGTGAATAGTCCCTATTAAACACTTATCATTTGGGTGGGGAAAAAGCATACTCAACTCTGGAACCCGCTCTCTTTCCTGGACTGTTCCAAGGAGCGCCGTGTTTCCAAGAGGCACTGTCAGAGATGTCTGATAGGGAGGGATAAGTCAGTGAGTGTAAAGTGTTTGTCTCCTAAATAAGAAAGGGTGTGGATAGAAAGTGTAGTAGCTATTCCAGAGTTACCTCCCCTTTGTGGACACTCAGTCCAAAATAGGAAAGACTCATCCCAGTTTGACTGAATCCAGTTTGAAAGAAGAGTACCTGTCTAGTGAGCCAGTGGCAAGACTCCCCCATTGACCTCGTTACAATTAGGATCTCACCCAAAATATTCTTCCATTTTGTCTTCAATGACATTCATGATATTTTGGAAAAGAAATTTAGCATAATCTAATAGTAGCCTCAGATACCTCACAAAGCAAGCCCAAACCCTATAATTCTGGCTCAGGGAACACTTTCCCTTGGTTATCTTGGTACATGGTCATCCACACTGGACATTTGTATATGCCACGATTTTTGCCCTTTCTTGCACTGCAACTGCGTGACTGTTTGCACAATAGGGATTTCCAGATGCTTTAAAAGTCTTTCTCCTTTATCTGATTCACAATCTATGCTAATATTGTATATTCCACAAAACCTCCATGTAAGCATACTGTACCAATGTATCCGAGTCCCTTGGGCTGCTCATGTTAATCGTTTTGGTTTCTCCTGTTCTCAGGGAATATCCAGCTTATCACTTTCTAAGGAAAACCTACAGACTTTAGGCCACCTGGCCTGTGCCCTCAATGGTTCCTATATTGCAAAATCTGACTTGCAAATACTCACGGTTTTGCAAAGCTGCAGGTCATTCACCGGAGACCAACAAGCAGCTATAGAGGAGCAGCTGGAGCGCAAATATGGGTATGTTACATGTGGAGCTTCTTGAGGGGCGAGTTGTAGTGTCACGGGATATGTCTACACCAGAGAGCCATAAGCCCCATCACACACACAAACCTGCTGTGTGCAAGGCAGTCCCAGAAACAAAACAACCAGGGGGATCCTAGCCCACTGCTCTGAGCTGGGCAGCTCAGTGCAGCCTGCACAGTCTGATTTATACTAGGTCTTCTTAGATGATTTCTTCTGGACACAAGGCACATTTGAATTTCCCTACACCCAGTGCACAATCACATCATTCATCTTAGGAAACTTGGATATGATTAGGACACGTGCCAAATATCTCTCTCCTTCTCAGACCTCCTTCCACCTGGACAGCCAGCACCCTGATGGACATGGGAGCCATTGCCAGTGCACTGAGAAGAGGAACACTGCAGAGGATCCCAGAGGTATGGTACCACTCAGAGACAGCAGCAGGGCCTAACAAGCATGAGATGAGGAACCCTTGGGTTTTAACCTCCAGCCTGACAATCACAGAAAATTTGGGTTGAAAAGGACCTCATGAGGTCACGTCTAATCCAACCCCCTTCTCAAAACCCCAACTGGATCATCCCAGTCAAGGTTTTGTCGAGCTGGACCTTAAAAACCTCCAAGGATGGAGACTCCACCACCTCTCTGGGTAACCTGGTCCAGTGCTTCACCCCCTCCTAGTGAGAAAGTTTTTCCTAATATCCAACCTCAGCTTCTCTTGCTGCAGCCTGAGCCCATTGCTCCTTGTCCTGCCATCTGCCCCCACGGAGACCAGCCCAGCTCCATCCTCTTTGCAACCCCCCTGCAGGGAGGTGAAGGCTGCTATTAAATCCCCACCCTCGGTCTTCTCTTCTGCAGACTAAGATCTGCTTTAAGGCACTAGGCAGATCAGTTCACTTCTTAATCTCCATTCCCATGTATAAACCAAGCAGGGGAGCTGGAAGATCCAGCTGGTCAATAGCTGAAAATCCAAAGCGCTAGGTTTGCACTGTGTAGGAGTGATACAATACCAAAAAAACCCACAAGAGGCTCCTACCCTGTCAGTCCAGTTTTTGCACAAGGTTTAACTTCAAGAGTGAAATGATAGGAGTCATTAAGAGAGGCTGGATTTAGATGCTGAAAACCATCTCACCAGCCTTACCAGCATCTGCAGTTCAACTCACCCGGCAGTTCCTGTCCTTAAAGCTCTCCTCTTCCTACACAGATGGCAAAGACGCAATTTTTCCCCAATTTCTTGAGCCAGCTGAAGACCCAGAATAGGAATCAGTTCACAAACGTCATGGAACAGCTCGCGAATGCCCCACGGCAGAAACGAGATGCGAGTGAGTACAGCCTGGCTATCCCTGGCTTGGTCGACTCCCCTTCTTTTGGCCTAAGCTGCCCCTTCCCCTCAAGGCCTTGAGCCCCAGGGGCAGTCTCAGAAAAGGGCAGCCCTGAGCTACAACAGGGTTTATTAAATGACAGAGGAGACTGGAAAGTGGAATCTGATGCTGCCAAATAATGTCCTGAAGCTCAGTGATCAATGTGGGGTGGACAAGGGGGATCTCCCTATTTCCGTCCTCCACTCTCCAGAGGCTCCACGCTGCTCCCTCCAGCTGAAAAGGACAAGCCAAAGCAGAAAAGGGTGTCCTAACACAACACACACTGCTTCCCTGTCCCCAAAGGGTTGAATCTACCACCTCTAAAGCAACTCCACTCTCCGAAGAGTCCTGCTTGGAGAATCGCACACAGAGAGACAGGGCCACATGAGATATTTTAACCATCTTTTTCCCCGCAGACTGCACAGCTCCACTGACAACAGAAGTGCTGGTGGAGCAGAGAGATTTCATCGGGGCAAAGTACACGTCCAGCACCGAGCTGGATGCCTGCCTCTCTGCAGAAGTACTGAGAGATGCTTTGGAGATGCTGGGGAAGGTGGACTTTCAGGATGCTCCACTTCAAGCCCTGAAGTGGAAACTGGACAAGGTAGAGCAGTGTCTGGAGCAGGCTGGGCAGGAGGGTTAGAGACCAACACCCCCGTTCTGTAGGGTCCAAGGATGAAGCCAGCTGATGGTTTGGTAGGAGTGGGGGGGGGTGGAGATTTTGCTTGGGTTTTCACTTTTAAATGGCAGTTCAGCTGCTTTAACAAATACCAGCACTTTCAGGTCCTACTCCACCATCCCAGCAAGGCATTCATGGTGCATCACAGCCTCTCTGTCTCTTAGAACACCCCATCTCCATTTAACAGGGGGGAATTAATGCTCAAACAAAGCAAAAAAAAAAAAGAGGCCGATTATTAGGGTCACTAAGTGCCCTCATTTTCACTCTTCGCACCACGCTATTTACATGCCTGAGTTTGGACATCCACGTTTGAAAATGTGGCCTCGCTTTTGCAGGCACTTCTCAACCAAAGGGATCCCACAGTCAGCATTTCTAACCCCACGCCCACAAGGAGCTGCATCTGAAACACCAGAAACACCCGACAACATCACAGGGTAAAAGCCAGGGAGAGAAGGGCCCTGCCCCTGCAACAACAGGGATGTAGGTAGTTAATTGAGGGATGTATGTGGTAGCCGTGTTGGTCTGAGACAAAAAGAAGTGCAGAACTCTAGAAGTCTTCATTCAGAGATGATAAAAGGTATCAGACCAACTAAGAAATCACAACAAAAATTAACTGATGTTCAGAAAGATTGAGCAGGACCAGAACTACAACCCCAAAGGGCTGAGGCCTCTAAAGCCCCTAAACACCACTCAGCCCCCTTTCACTTCAACAGACATGGCCAGGATATTCGGTCTGGCTTATAAACATAAAGAAGGAGTTTGACCTCTCTGATTGCAGATGTAGTTAAAAAGCAGATACAGATCCCCCTTCTCTGCCCACTGGTGAATCAGGATAGCGAGGTGAATACCAGGCATTACCCTGACTCCCACACGCACCTTCGCTTTCCATCTGTTTGAAAAGCCATGCCGCCATGAGCAGACACATAGATATGTCCCCCCTGACTGCTCCATGTCTTTTGTGCTACATGCAGACCTTCGGCACGCTGCCTGAAGACTATCTCCCATTGCTAGGAAACATAGCCAGGATGTATAACACAGCTGAGATTGGGAACTGGAACATCACAAGAGTGGATACCTTGTCAGCCCTCTTGACAGGGACATCATGGCAAAATGATCTCCCGAAGGTAGGACCCAGGAAAGCAAAGACTTGACTGGGTGCTGGTTTAAAAACTAATATATATATAGAATAATAAAAATGGAAGGACTATTGCTGCTGCTTTGATAAATGATGCTAACATTGAGGCTATTTTATTAATGCCTTTAAACCTGCTATTTGTCCTCATTAACACACCCGCAGGTTAACGCTCTGGTCACTCGGTACCTGGAAGGCAGCAGGATGCCGTTGGATGGGACGCTGCTGACCGTGCTTGCTCCTTACATCTGTGCTTTGGGAGATGCTGACCTAAAAGCACTCAGCAGTGTGGCCATCAGGTGCCTTGTGAATCATTTCACCTCTAAGTGTCTGGGAGGAGACAGAGCTTTAGAAATCCCCATCCAGGGCTTTTCCTTTGGGAACTTGGAGCGGCTGAATGCTCAGAGGAGCTTGTTGCAACTGGACAGATCCTGGGATTCCCATCCTGAGGGCTATGCCGTTGGATGGGATATTGCTCAGGGAGAAGGGCAAGCCATGAAGCAGTCCCTGTCCCCCACTAGGCACCAGAAGCTCTTCTGCGCAGCTATCAGAGCGCCCTGGGGAGGTGGGAAGTACTCTGATGCCCATTTGCCAGGTGGGGACTGAGGCCCAAAGGCAAAGTAACCTGCCTGAGGTCACAGGTGAAGTCTGTGGCAGAGGAGAAAATCACTGCTGGGCCTCCCAGGAATACGATCACTGGGCCACTCCTCTCCCAGGCTTGTGGTTTCCTGCAGGACGTCTTATCCACCTGTGCAAATGCTGATCGCTCCAGCCGTTTAAAAAGAAACACCAAATCTCAAAAGCCCCTTCCTCTGCAGAGATATGAGCGCACCCATGAACGTCTCACGGTGCTCCCAGCGCAGGAAGAGTCTCCTCTACAACCTCCTGAGAGCCGCTTACCAGGAGCACCAGAGCTCCCCGGATGCCTATTACCAGTTCCTAAAGCCGGTTATCGGTGAGTCCCACTGCAATGAAAGGGCTCGACTGGCAGCTGCTGAGCTTGCTCCTATGCAAAGCCCCAGGTGACAGACACCCCCGTGCTCCCCGGGCCAGCAAGGCTGAGCGGGGTTTGGATGTAGCCACACATCTCACTTCCAGATACCCCAAGTTATAAACACTTCAGAGAAGGAACATTTTGGATCCAGACTCACTCCCAATATACCTTTTCCTTTCTTCCATTACGGTGCCATTTTCTAACATAAAAGCAGCACAGTCCCAGGTGGCTGAGCAACACGGCAGGTTTTGCTGGATCTCAGCCATTAAACGCAACTGCTTTCCCTCATTTAAAGGTGGAGCCTCCGCCCAGGACCTGATCCGATTTGCCTCCAACCATCCTGTCATGGCCACGGATGTATTTATAGACCTCAATCCAGATGAAGTGCAGGTATGTGGGAAGCAGGTAGTCATCACTGCTCACTCTGCAAGTGTTTTTTCTAAGACAAAACAAAACCAGCTCTCCCGATCCCATCAAAACCATGAGAAAGCAGTAGCTCCCATGACGTTTTCTCTTGGGCTTTCCGACTGAGTCTGAAGCAGATGATAGCCCCGTGCATACATCTGCCAAGCTAGCAACAGCCAAACCCGAAGGTCCAGGTAGCTCAGGATCCTGTCTCTGACCTCAGTTAATACCAGACTTCACAGGGGCACCAACAGTCTTCCCTTAGCATCAGATCTCTAACCACGAGCCTGGTGGCAGCTGCTCCGAACCATGATGTTTCATATCTATTCCAGCAGGCTTCTCATTAATTATAACAGATGTGGAAATCCACCTATGTAGATCATAGCATCATAGATCGATGCCTTAACCCGTTTGCGCAATATTGTGAAATGGCAGGTCGCAGAGATCAGTCAAGACATGCTGAGATTTTGGGAAAGGATTCCCTATTTCCAGCGGTTCCTTGCATGCAGGAAGGCCATGGCCAGCATAAGAAATGGGGCAAAGTTTTGGTGCATTAACAAGAGGTAATTAATGAACATGACATTAACAAGAGTTAATGCACCAAAGGCCAAGCAGACCCAACCTCAAAGGCTTGTGGGGTGCCCTACGCAGTGAGCCTTTACTGGCAAAACTATGCAAGTTCCCACAATAAACCAGCCCATGGGGCAGAAGTGAAGCAGTGCTGGATATCTATCTATCTATGCTGGGGCCCAGGGCCCAGCACAATGACACAGAGCAGGAATGAAGCTGTACTTGAACTTACAGCTGCCTGTATCTTGCCTGTGGGTTGCTAATACTGCCTGTGTATAATTTATTAGCTATGCAACACTTCCGTCTGGCGTTCTTCGCATTAATGAACCCAGGTTTGCCTCTCTTTTGCTATAGAAATTGAGCCCTCAAGATCTGAAAGATTTGCTAGGAGTTAATCTTCCAGACCTGAACAATTTAGCTGATCAGCCAGTGGTGAAAGCTTGGGTCCAGTCACACAAGCAATCAGAGGTGCAATCATTAGGACTTCATCTTACAGCAGGCATCCCAGACCCACCTCCTCATGGCTTTATACATATTCCCGCAGGTGAGTGAGTTCATGGCAAAAGCAGCAAGCGTTCTGGTGAAACAGAGGGCTCAAAAGCTACCCATTGGGCTCTGCCTAAGGCTGATTAAATACAAGTGTGCCTGCCATGCAGCCACATATTAAAAGCTTATTGTTTGCCTAGCTCTAGCGTGCAAAAAAAATTTTTTTTTAAATAGCGACCCTTCCTAGGGAAGACACGTGCAGAAGTATGTTTTCAGATTAAGTTGCCTGGGACAAATTCTCCCTGGTGTTCAGCTCATTTCTAGTAAAAGCCCCACTGGATCACATCCAGTCCATCTCCGAGAGCATATTTCCTGGTGCTTTGTACAGTCTAATTTTAAGCGATTCAACAGATGGCTTTCACCCCTTTCCTTGGGAGTCTATTGCACTGCCGACACAGCTCCCTACTGGGATGCTTTCCAAATGGCGGTTATGGGAAAACTATTAGGAGGCAGGGAAGTTGCACGAGACCTATGAAGGGATTCATTGTATGTGCAGCATCTCAGAACTGATCAGATATTTTAATCTTTATTTTAGCACCTCAACCATCTGGAAGAGCAGCGACACGTATGAAAGACTACACAGCCCAGCTTTTCTATTGCATGCTCCTTCCTTCTGCATTGGCTGTTTTCTTGTGAGCTTGTACTACTTTCACCCCAATGCCAAATACAGTATTCTAAGGCAGGGGGAAAAAAAGCAGTTGTGCATTCACGACCAATGCATATACTTTCTGCAGCTTTCCAAGTGTAAAAAGTACAGTATTTAATAAACCTGAAGACTACTCCCAAAAGCTTGCTAAGAACTTTTTTCCAACTACTCAGTTGGTCTAATAAAAGATATCACATCAACCCAAAGAACCCTGCCTGAGTATTTAATATGCATTTGAGAACACATCATTCTAGTGCCCAACAGTCATTATAGCAAGCAGTGCTGCTGCTCACGTGCTTTGATAAATGCCTAATGTGTGCTCGCTCCTGTTGACTTCACAGGGAGTGCTGACAGTAGCAAGCTCTAGCCAGGTAGCAATCTCAAGGTCCTAAATTAATTATATTTAAGTGGCATTACCCTTTTGCATTCTGACTACAATTAGTCAAACCTGCATTGGGTTTCGGCCACCTGTTTGATAATTGCAGATGACCCCAAGGCACTTTCTCAAATACTCCTATTTCTAAAAAAGTAGAGTGATGTCAGTGCAATCGGAAGAACCTCTGAACAAACCCAAGTCAGGTGTTACCCGTCATGCTGTAGGACCGAATCTCACAAACCTAGGCTTGCAAAACTCCTTATGAGGCCTGATCTGAGGGACCTGGCAATCCGAGTCAGGGTTGTAAACCTGGTTGGCTTCGGGAAATCATTTCACTTTGTGCTTCAGCTTCCCATTGATAGAAGCAAGAATTAACTCCTGCACAGGGTTATTTCTGCATGCACAGCTTCCTAATGTGCTGAGCCAACAAGGCAGCACCTAAGGAGGGACAGCTTATAGAATTGGCCCCAGAAGTGCATCCTCAGGTCTGAAACTCCCTCCAGAGGCCAAACCTGGATGTCTTTTAGATGCCCTGTAAAACCTTCCTAGTAGGTAGGCATTCAGCAAGCAAAGCCAGGCTGAGGTATTGTTCGCTGTGTTGGAGGGCAGAGGAGAGGAAGCAAATCAGTTTTATGTTGACATCCTAATGTCCTCTTAATTTGCTTTGTTTTCCTGTTGTTCTCCCATATGTAAGTTATTCTGTTTTCTTACTGCAAGCCGCCCTCAGCCTTTGCTGGGAAAGCATATATATCACATAAAGGAACATGATAAATATGGTGGATGATGGCTTTTATGAAGAGTTTGTAGATTTGCTACAGCCAGGGAGGCACCAAACATCTGGACTCAGTTGTCTGGTCTTTGGGTTCTGTCTCAGTGTCCTAAAGAGGAGGATGGGAGGTCTGGGCAGCCTCCACTCCTAAAGAAACAAAGCCTCCAGCCTAGGCACATGCATCAGAGGGCTGCGTGACCTGCCGCGCATACACCATGATCTAGAACAGATCAATGGTTGCCAAAATATAAATATAGATTTGTATAGGACAGTTTGGATAGGCACAATCCTGCCTCAGGTACAGCTGGACTAAACAACCTCTGGAGGTCCCTTCCAGCCAGACTGCCCTGCCATTTCTGTGAATAAATTGCACCCACGTCCCTTTTCTGTAGCAGACGAGCTCGCTTATGCAGCCCGGGGCCCTCCAGCAGCAAAGCAGCGTGCCGGAGGACAGACACAATGCAGGTGCTCTGAGTATTTAATGCTAGCGCGGTGGAAGAAGAGCTTTGCAGGACGCCAGCTTCCAGCCCCACTCCTCTCACTCAACAGGCAGGATCTCAGTGAAATGACTCCCACCAGGAATGCAAAGGGAGGAGACGAGCTGCTTGTGTCCCTACCCCACTGCCTAGCTCTAGCGTGCATAATTTTTTTTTTAAATAGTGACCCTTCTTAGGGAAGACACGTGCAAAAGGATGTTTTCACATTAAGCCGCCTGGGACAAACGCTCCCTCATGTTCACCTCATTCTGAGCCCTGCAGCCTCCCTGCCCCCTTCCACGCACCACGGCCCAGCTCTCGCGCATGCGCAGTGCACCGTTGGCCCGCCCGTGCATGCGCACACCCATCCCTCCAGCGGCACTCGGCAGTAGCGACCCCACACCCGCGCTTTGCAGCAGTGTGGCGGCGCGCTTTGCGGCAGCGCTGCGTACTCTCTCCCTCCCCGCGAGCGGCCGCCGCGCTTTACGGCAGAGCGGCCGGCATGGCGTCTGTATTCAGCGGCGCGCTGCAGCTCGCCGACCTGGACGATTATATCGCCCCCTCGCAGGTAGGCGGGGGCTTCTCATTGGCTGCCCGGCTGTGGGGGGAGGGGCAGTATTAGGGGGCTTT